TTATGTTTTAAGAAGTTCTTGCATTTACGTTTCTTGCATGTTTTTCATCATGTGTTTTGTGTATAAATACCCTGAGATCTGACATCAGCTTCTTGTCTAAAGTCTGCTCCAGAAAATGAGGGCTGACTTGATGCATTGAGCCCTGAGAGAGAGAAACAGTTGGATGGAAAAGTGAGTGGTGAGTCAATCAGAAATGAATCATGCGGTCATGCTACAAACACACCCAACACTCACTAGCAGTTTTGCAGCTTGCACTCTGACTACCCATGAGCCGTCACTGACCATGTGACAGATCTTCCCGAAGGAGTCGTCCACCAGTCGGATCTCCTCATTGGAGGAGGGGATGGGAACAATACTGTTAATGCATAAAGACAAATTAATGTTCAATCCACGTTAAGAGACTTCATTCTTGAGTTTCTTGAATTGAAATAACCATTTCAAACAGTGCATGCTCAGAAAGCAAGAAAGCAGTAAGTACACAATGGCTGCAGTCAGCATTACCTACTCTTGAAGACGGGATGAGCACATACAACAAAACACAAAGTAAGGCTTTGAGAGTCTCTACCTCTCAGGATAAAGCTGGCTCAGAACCCAAACCATCTGCACTGTTGTTGAACGAACCTGCTCATAATCATCACTCAAGAGCTTACAGGCCTGTGCAGGGGATCAGACATTCATATGCAAGTTATTTCTTTTGTAATCTCATGCTCAGTGGAATGAAAAATTTAAAAAATATATATTACCATTCAGAAGTTTGTTTAAAGAAATTGATCCACACAGAAAGGATGCATTACATTGTTTAAAAGTGACAGTAAAGACATTTATATTACAAAAGATCTCTATTTCAAATAAATGCTGTTCTTTTGAACTTTTTATTCATCACATAATCCTGAAAAAAATGGTTTCCACAAAAATATGACGCGGGACAACTGTTTTCAACATTGATAATAATCAGAAATGTTTCTTGAGCAGCAAATCAGCATATTAGAATGATTTCTGAAGATCATGTGACACTGAAGACTGGAGTAATGATGCTGAAAATCAAGCATCACAGAAATAAATTACATTTTACAATATATTCACATAGAAAACAGTTATTAAAAATAATAATATCTAATATTTTTACTGTACTTTTGAACAAATAAATGCAGCCTTGGTAAGCAGCTTTCAAAAACTAAAAAATCTTACCAACCCTAAACTTTTGAATGGTAGTGTAAGATTATTATAGCTGATATTGACCTGGTTATAAATAGTCTGTTGAATTTTCATCCCTCTTTCATGTAGCTGCAGCTGATCGGAGAAAGAAAAATGCACTGAAGTCATTTAAAGAAATGCAAGTAAATAAAAGCCACATTTAATGCATTTTAACATGGCGTTATTCTACAGAGCTCATGTACCATGGCTTTGATGGCGGCGGTGCGGACGCGAGGGACCTGGTCCTGGAAGTAGTCGCTGATCACACTCTGTACGTCCCGTACAGGAGATGTTTGTGCTCCAGGTCCCGCATCAGTCTCTTTACTGAGAGGTTTATCAACTGTCCCCAGACAGCCCAGCAGCTGCAGACACTTATTCCTCACTCCGAAATAAGTGCTTGAGAGATGCTGAGGAACAATATGACATGAAAGTAAAATATTTAACAACTGTAATAATATTTCTGATTCAGAATGATATAAAACTGCTAAAAAGCTGATTAAATCAGTATCAACCATTGTTACTGCCAAAAGTATGATTTCAGAGTTATAGGAATGGAAGATATCTTCTTATTTATTACAATCACCTTGCAAGCCACATCTATAAGTCTCTGAATGACAGCAATCTTGTCTGGGAGTTGAGTGCCGATGATCAATAGAGTGTCCAGAAGCTGCGCCAGAACCTGATGAGACTCTAAAACACAGGCAAAATTCTTAGAAAAATCCAATTTCCACACACAGTTAACCCAAACTCATCTGTATTGATTGAATTATTCAGGGCTTGACAGTACAGTAGTAAGGAATATTTCTGCTGACCTAATTGGTCAGTGGTTCAGATTCTCACTAGCCCTACCATAAAAAAACAATATATTTTAGTAATGCATTTTATATGTGTCAGAATATTTTTTTTTTTTTTTTGAGTTGTTAATATTTTTGATAATCAATATACTCGAGTCTAGACATCATCTTCTAAAGACACTTTTGTGAACTACCCGGGGCCATTATTATTGTTGAGGTATGACATTAAATAAAACAACTGCTTAAATGATAAATACATTTATATTAAGAGTCACATTACTTTCTAGTAGAACATTATCATTTTAAATCAAAGACTTACTTTCATTGTTGAGAGTGTTAATAGCATCATCTACTACGCAGTCTGGAGCAAAGCCCTGGGTTTTGATGAAGCGATCTTCAGCCTGACAGAGTTATCTGACTCCTGTAGACCACATTACCGCAAACACATAGGGCACATTTATTAAAAGTAATACATAATATTACTTTCATCATACACATTTAATGGAATATGCAAGTGTTTCATTTCAAAATGTCTGAGTGCGTAATAAGTAATAACAGTATCAGCCATGAAGGTTGTGTTGCGATACCTTGTAATAATGCTCGAGCAGTATGCGCACGACCCCCTCCACGCTCTCAGCCTCCACAGGTTTCCGTGCGAAATGCAGCAGGTACTGCAGAGCGTCTGTGGGGCTGGTGGCTTTACACAGGTCTATGTGAAGAGCGGCTGATTTACTGGGTTTGGTCAGTCGAAGCTTTTTCGCTGGAACCTCCTCAAGAGTCACCTGCTGCAAAAAAAAACAAAACATGATCAATCAATAGGCTCTGATATAAACATTGAGAAAAGACTGATATCACTGATTATTTCACTTCTGATATCTTGTGATATATGTCTCAGACACAACCACGAAAGACTTAAAACATTAATTTTAGTTATTTATTTTTCATTATTACACAATCTGAGAGTTTGCTTATCAAATGCAGATCAATACACCAACATCAAGTGTTGGCAATGAGATGTTATTGTTGCAGGCTCCAAAGAGAAAAGAAATGGAAAACAAAGAATCGAAAACATTACGATTACAGTAAGAAAATCAAAAGAAAAGCACACACAAGTGCATTTAAAAATGTGTAGTTTTTCAACTTTCCTCTGACTAAAAAGACTTGAAATAAAGCAAATAACAGCCAAATAGCATAAATGTATAAATGAATAAATGGCTGTTTGTCGTTAGAAAAATAGTTAATACACATAATAACGGTTACAGTAATAATCAACACACTAATGCTAAATGCTACATCTGCTTTACCTATATTCTATTATTATAATTATATTATAATTATATTCTGTGACCAGCACAATAATATGACATTTTATAATCAGTATATGCCGTGTTTTATGTGTTCACCTGAGAAACTTTAGAGAATTCCTCATAAACTCGTTTCTTCAGATGAGCTGCCATAACGGTGTTTATGGCTGCGCTCCTGCTCTTCTTCGCGCATGCGCTGTTCAGCGGCGTCAGAAGTTTGCGGCGGAACAGCGACACCTCATGGACGGAAGTCTTCAGAAATCACACATTCTATGCCTTCTACATACAGTAATACATTTTTAATGTCATAATATTAGAAACAAACAACCTATTCTGATTTTAATGAGATAACAATAAAACAGATTAAAATGTTCTTAATTTTTTTTCTAAGCTTGACCTTTCACTCGTTTCAGTGACTCTGCACATGAAGAGATGATTAAAGATTTCAATATCTTTTTTTAAAGAATTATAGCATATACCATAAAATATAGGTGGCTATAATAATAATGTGACAGATAATAATGGACTAGAAGCAACACATAAAGCAATCAGTAAATATTAGACAATAACGTAATCAATTAAATTTATTTTTGACATTCAAAAAAACTTTTTTAGACTTTTTTTTTGGTATCCTGGTTCATATATGAAGTAATAAGATACTACAACAGCAATTCTGCTGGAAATGGCACATCACGGCTATAATAATAATAATGTGACAGATAATAATGGACTAGAAGCAACACATAAAGCAATCAGTAAATATTAGACAATAACGTAATCAATTAAATTTATTTTTGACATTCAAAAAAACTTTTTTAGACTTTTTTTTTGGTATCCTGGTTCATATATGAAGTAATAAGATACTACAACAGCAATTCTGCTGGAAATGGCACATCACTCTTTCTTAATATTATTTTGCACCGTTAATGATCTACATGAGCAAAGGGTTAATCAAGTGTCTTGGCAGCAAAAAAAAAACATCATAAACACATGCTGTACAAAGTGAAAACAGACATTATTTACACATAGCACAAATTAGGGAGATTATAATGTTGGTATATGAAATGGACCTGTTTCCACATTCTTATATAATGCATTGGGATAGCATGATAACATGCATACCTTGAATACAATGCAAGTTGCTTTGGATAAAAGCATCAACCAAATACATAAAAGTTGCATGCATAAAAAAATGCATACGATTTTACAATTCTCATGTGTTGACAAATTAACAAGCCAAAAACATTCCTTAAGACCTAAAGCTGATTTGAAGGGTTTATGGTTCAATTAAAAGCAACGTAAAGGCTGCAGCATCTAAAACTATGTATTTACCTAAATTACGTTAAGGGCATTTCTGTACACAAAATGTAGTCAAAATAATATTATGTTGTAATCCAAAGCATGCCACAAATGCTGCTGATAAAACCCGAACCAGAATATTCCTAATAAAGACACATCCGTGCAGAAGCTATTTTAAGCCAAAGGCCAGGATTGTTCAACTAGAGTCAATATTAAACAAGGGTTTAACAGATACTGACAGATAAGAACACCATTATACATGATTGACAGCTGTCGATAGGTGGGTCTGCTAAAGGAACAGAAGCTGTTAATGTCGAATTTGTTTGATAAGCTGATTATATAATATATAAAACATTCCTTCACTTTTTAAATCTCTATTTCCAAGTCACGAGCTTGGGCCTAAAATTCTTCACCACCAAGTGAAAATCAATTTATAGAAGAAGTCGTTGCTCTTAAAGAGAAACCCTTTGTCTATGCTGTGTGGTTGGATCTTTACTTTATATCCTTTGGCTTCTATGTCCATTTTGACGCAATCTAACAGATCTTCCACTGATGCAGGAGCTTTCCACGGACCAAAGCTCACCACGGACTCTCTCGGGGTGCCGAGACTGTCGATAGCATGGTTGTATCTGGCTAAATCATCTTCTGTCCTCACAACACACACGATTATGTTGGAGTAGCGTGAGGCGATGGCCTCGGCTCTGGCCACCCGCACAATCACCTCCAGGTTTTCTTGATAATTCGGTACACGGGCCAAAAACTGCTGTCTCCCGACCGTCTCTCCGAAGAACTGCGGCGTCTCCTCGATGGCTTTGACCAGAGGTTTGATGTCGTAGTAAAGCGCCTCCTTATGCACCTCCTGCAGGTGTTCAGTAGGAAGTTTCTCCGTTCTGAGGTACTCGAGGATGTACCCGAAATAAGTCCCATCGCGGTCTACGAAGTGACGGCCCTCAGAGTCCATCCGTTTGGTTGATCCGTTAAACAGGCCCGCCAGTGTGGAGTTTGGGAATTTACGGACGGTTCCCAGGGTGGTGCTGAAGACATGACCTCCAATGTTCAGCTGCACAACTTGGGATTTCTGTGGAGAAAGAACACATGTCGGTTTTAACAGTTAATATGAATAGTTGATTGAAAGCCTGAGAGATGCTGACCACTCTTTGTCATTACTGATACCAACACAACAGACTACCCAAGGTCTCCAAGGTGCAATGACGTAAAGAACAATTAAAGACCAACATGAACTGAAGCAACTTTTGTTGAATCAAGCTAAGCAACAAAATAAGACATAATTCAATAAACCTCTTAATAATTAATAGTTTGAAAAAGGACACAAAAAATCTCAAAATATGAATTATGTCAAATGTGCATATATACATATATATATATATATATATAAAGTATTCATACCCCTTCATTTATTTCACGTTTTGTTATGTTGCAGACTTATGTTAAACTGCTTTAAATTAAAAAAAAATTCTGCACATCAATCTACACTCCATACACCATATTGACAAAGCAAAAACAGAACTGTCACAAATTTGTAAATTTATTAAAAATAAAAAAACTGAAAGAAGTACATTGCATAAGTATTCAAACCCTTAACTCAGTACTTAGTTGAAGCACCTTAACAGCCTCAAGACTTTTTGGGTATGATGCGACAAGCTTTGCTCATCAGTATTTGGCAATTATCTGCCATTCTTCTCCTCACCTCTTCACCTCTCAAGCTCTGTCAGGTTGGATGAGGGCAGATGCACATTTTCAGGGTTCTCCAGAAATATTTGATTGGGTTCAATTCCAGGCTCTGGCTGGGCCACTCAAGGACATTCACAGAGTTGTCTATAAGCCACTCTTGCTGTGTGCTTAGGAAAAACACTAAAATTAAAGCAAAGAATGTTATATTTACATACCATATGCACTATTATGACATTACGGTGACTTCAGAAAATTCATAGAAAGAAACAAATCTGTCATGATAGTGCATGTCAGTACGATAATACAAATAATAACGCCATGCATTTAGTTCTCTCTAAAAAAAAATTGGCAACTTTGGAGTTAAAGAATTTAGCAAATGCAGCAGATTTATTGACATAACTCGCCATTAATGTTACATACTGCATTCTCAGTATTTGAATTTTTAAAATCATTTTATTAATCTCGGTTTCAAAATACTGTAGTTGTTTAATCTTTTACCAGCTTCCTCCTTAAGCATACAATACTACTATTGGGAAGTAAGCAGTTTCTTGTTACTGGACAAGTATCGTGTACTAAGTAGTACATGCACTGGATGTTAAAAACAACTCGCGAGTATTTGCTTTACAGGCGGTGCTGTGAAAATCTTTAACAGCACGCGATGACAGAGACAACTATAATGTCAAAAATGTAATTAATTTTACAAAAATACATCTCAGGCGATACAAAATAATAGCTGAAACACAGAACAGCTGTTACATGAAATAGAACATTCACGAAGAAAATGCTACAATGTGACATTCCATTTTGAAATGTAATTGTTTCTTTCTGTTCATGTTTAATGTCTTACCGACTGCACAGCTGCTGAGGACTGTTTTCCAGGCGATTTATAGTCGGGTAAACTCATGATCTTCAGCTAAAACTTCTGGTAGCAGCAGCTCAGGCTGTGAATCAGGTGTGTGTGTGTGTGTGTGTAACTTTATAAGATCCACCCATGACACACACAAGGCAGCACGGCACTGCTGCATTCTCTTCTAGCTTCACGAATAAGAATTAACTATTTGTTAAAAACACTGAAAATGGTTCTTAATCTGTTTAATTCAACAGTCCACTGACAAAAAGTGGTTTAAACGTGTTTGTTTTGGACATGTACCATTGTAGTACCATTGTATCATGAATAGAACTATGGCAATCCTTCTGCACCATGATTCTCATCATAGCACTTTTCACTAATAGCCATTAAACTGAAACAAGTGTAATGTTCAACGAAATAGAATCCATCAAAGAGCAAAAAAGCTCAACTCTTGACATTCGTTTGCAATGTATCCAAAGGATTATTCTTATAAAGATAAAGAATATAGGAATAAAATAATTTTGCTAGTATCTCGGCATGTAATCCTTTTATTTGGATACATAGCAAACGAATTTCAAGAATTGAGCTTTTTTGCTCTTTGATGGATTCTATTATTGACTTGAAATCGTGTTACATGTGAATGGAACCTAGCGCAAGATCCTCCCTTTTTCAACTAAACGCAGCTGATGACCTCTACAGCAGTGGTTCTCAACTAGGCGACTTAAAAGATGACTTCAACGAATCAAAATTAAGACAAAACAAGCATTCAAATAAACTAAAAATCAAGCTTTCTTATTGCAATTTAACTTCATTTTAAGTGTTATTGGTCCCACTTTTACATAAAAAAAGGACAATGTACTTATGTTCATATTGTATTGCAAAACACTTTTGCTGCTATTGAGGCAAAATACAGGAGAGGTTAGGTGGTATGAGTAGGTGTAAGGTATGGGTCAACAGTGTAATTATAGATCCAATTGCATGTATTTTTAAAAGAACATTGTAAAAACATGTACAAAATAAGTGCATTGTACCAAATGATTAATTTAAATGAAAGCACATCGTTAAGGCCACTTAATATAAAGTGGGTGTTGTTTCCAAACCTAGAAAGTCATGCAATTTAAACTCCACGTGCATTTTTCTACTTATACTAACCTTTAAAAAATTTCACAAGGTAGAAATTGTGGTCGAATATATATACATATATGTGTGTGTGTGTACATATACATGTCTCCTTAATTCTTATCCAGAAAACACCATACAACTGGGAAAGTCATGAGGCCATATTGTGCAATGGGGGGCCATGGAGTCAAACAAACATACAAAATCACTGAATGCAACATTATATTGTACATATTATAGAAGTCCACTCAGCCCCCCCTCCCCCCTCCGTAATGTTGCAATTTCATTACAATTAAACACTGCTTTATAAACAAAGTAAAATAAATAAAATAAATAGTTTTTAGCAGTTGTCACAAGTCATAAAGCTTCTCTGGCAACATGACTTGCATGCTGATACTTCAACTGTATTCTGCTGGTCACGGTTATGTTTAACATCTTCAGGTAGATTAGACTCAAATGTGTTAAAAGCTACCAAGATCTCCATGTATTTCAATCATAACGTCTTTAAAACACTGCTCATTTGAAGTGAATGAAAACAGACAACATTTCCTCATTTATCATTTTATTTTTTTATACAGAAAAGTATAGGCCTTCCATCAATGATCGGTCAACCTAGAAGAGACAAAAACATCTTGTTAGAATAAAAAAAAGCATCAATGACAAACTAGTCAGCAAGGAAAAACCCTTCTCAGACAAATGCCTCTAAATCTTCAATCTAAGAGGACACCTGACTCTGAGGAACTGAAGTCAGACGCACAGAACGTGAGCCTGACCCAGAATCCTCAGAGACGGGCCTCAATCCGACTCGTCATCGTATCTTCACTGAAGGGAACGTGGAGGTCAGTTTGGGGTTTTTAGGTCTTACTCCTTTATGGGGTTGGCACTGGGGCTCCCTGTGGCATGGCTGGGACCTCGGGCTTGGTCCCCTTCTGTTCGGACACTGGGGTGGTGGGCAGGACCTCATCTTTGGGCTCCACGATGCTGACGTGGTCAGGCAGGGGCTTCTTGGGGCCGATCTTGCCGCTGGGATCCCAGGGAAGCATGATTTTCACCTTGATTCCAAGCACACCTATATGCAGACAAAATCACAAGGACACATTACAAAACTAGACAAGTCAAGAACTAGTCAGCAAGAAGGAAAAAATTAAAAACCCTTCTCAGACAAATGCCTCTACATCTTCAATCTAAGAGGACACCTGATCTCTGAGGAACTGAAGTCAGACGCACAGAACGTGAGCCTGACCCAGAATCCTCAGAGACGGGCCTCAATCCGACTCGTCATCGTATCATCACTGAAGGGAAGGTGGAGGTCAGCTGGCACAAACATTGTATAAAACATTGAAACCAGTTGGTATACTGTTGCCATTTGAGCTTCACCATACGTTTGAAAGCATGCATTCAAAGCCTTCTCAGAGGAACGCCTCTGAAACATCACATTGCTCTGAAGAACCAAAAATTGACTAAGACTCTTCTGAAACAATCTAATTCTGGTTCAGTATATCGTCACTGAAGGAAAGATTTATACGCTTCTGAGGTTAAACTTAGGGTGACCATACGTGCCATTTTCCCAGGACGCGTCCTGGCCAGGATTTGTTTTGGCTTTGTTTTCATGCTTGCTGAAGGTAATGATCGAAAAGTAGTTTGAGCAATAACATGCAAGCATTGTACATAATGGACCAATCATGGCGTGTGAGAAGGTGGGATCTACGGTCAAAGCGATGCAATTACGCGTACATATTAGGTGTGTTCGACTTAAAAGCAGTGCGGCTCAGACCGATCAGTCTTTGACATCAAAGTACCTCGAGAGCGTTTAGAAAGCATAACCGTCTATATGGTACTTTGATGTCATACACCGATCGGTCTGCACACACAAACAAAGCCAAAACCTAGATATTTTAGGAAATATAGAAATCCTGGCCAGAACGTGGTCACCCTAGTTAAACTTCCAACAATTAGTTATTCAGTATGTTAGACATTTGAGGTGCCATGCTAAACCTTATACAGGGTTTCTGCAGGATTTTTAAGCTCAAATTTAAGACTTAAAATTAAGACTTTCTTGTACAATTTAAGACTTTTTAAGGCCTTAAATTTGACAACTAAATTTAAGACTTTAAGACCCGCGGAAACCCTGCTTATAATTTTATATGGCAACAGGTTTGCACATTGAAGTCCAGGTATTTGAGATGATACCCATTTCTGCTCCCGACTTTCTGATTTGATTTAAATTTGAGTCACAAGCTCTCAATGCAATATAAACCCATTTAAATCTGAAAGTCTGTTTCAACTATGTTCCTATCCTACTGCAAGTGATTAAAATCACTGGGAAAAATAAGGAGCTTCCATCTTTTAGATGCCAAAGACAACAAATATTTAAAATTAAAAAGGCATATATATAGTTTCTTGTATAAAGGCCCAACCTGCACTTAAAATTAATACTGCAAATATGTCTCAATTATTAGGAAATCATTTAGTTTAGTAAGTTAAATTATATTTTATTTCTAATCATCATTCTATATGACTTTTTTCTATATATAAAAACCATGATCTATTTTTTTTTTTTTTTTACACTAATACACTTAAGATTTGACAAATGAAAATCCACAGTAGGCTACTTGTATGTCTAAAATAATATTTGAAAATTTATACACTGTATTCTCATTTTTTTAACCGTTTCTCTAAACATTTCCCCCTATTAAAATGCAATGTGCTAAAGATGACAAATTCATAGTGCTTATAAATATTGTCTAAAATTATAAATATTTAGAAAATACTGAGATATTTAATTTTTCCTACTCATAATACTGCATTTACTCATTTTAATTATTTTTCCCCACACTTTTTCTCGAAACATTTCCACAGCTAAAGATCTGACACGAATGAAGTTTCCAGAGAACCATCACTCTGTGACTCTTACTCACCCTGACGGAGCAGTACGTGGCGGACAGCAGTGTCGACGTAGTAGTTTACAGGGTCTCCGCTGTGGATCATCAGGCCATCCACAAACTTCATGGATTTGGCTCTCTGACCTCTCAGTTTACCAGAGACGACCACCTCACAACCCTTGGCCCCGCTCTCCATGATGAAGCGCAGGACACCGTAGCAGGCCCTGAGGACAACAGACACGGTATACAACCATAAACACACAGGACAAGGACATGAAAAATAATCTAGACTCCAAATAAAACACGCTGCCTGCTTTCCATCCATCCTTCTCAGACAAATGCCTCTATGTCTTCAAGCAAATAGGACTCGCTGCTTTGAGGAACTGAAGTCAGACGCACAGAACGTGAGCCTGACCCAGAATCCTCAGAGACAGAACCAGCCCCGTTCCGACTCGTCATCGTATCATCACTGAAGGTAATTTCAGTCGGGAGCCCAAAGCATGCTGGGAAGTGAACGCTCACCTACGGACAGCCAGTCCTCCGAGCAGCTTGTAGCGCAGAGACTCTGCCTGAGCGATGGCGCAGAGACCCCGGGTGGCCACCTTCTCAGCGTACAGCTACAAACAAACAACCCAATACTTCAGAACATGCAGTTACAGACTAGTTTTGGACCCCATTTACGCCTGTGTTTAGCACTAATCTCACCTCCACACTGCCTTCAGGGAACCCGAATCGTTTCTGAACGACGGCAGTCAGTTCACGAATGCGACGGCCTTTCTCTCCCAGAACATTCTGGGTCCTGAAGAGACAAACGGTCACTACATTCAATTCATTACATTTACATTGCATTAAAGTCATTACACTCTATGCTCGAGTTAACCCATGTCAATGCTTTTAAATGCACGTTTTAAGCATGTAATGTAATGTAAATAAACTCAAATGAGAGTAAACAGTTCACACCTGGTGGCTAGGATGATGATTTCTGTTCTTGTTGGCGTGACACGGACCTCCACACCGGAGTACCCATCCTCGGCCAGCTCTCGGGTCAGAAACTCATTCAGCTCGGCTTTGAAGATGCCATCCGACACAAACTGATAGAGAAACATTGACACGATTATGTCTTCTGATGTAGAAATAAATTGACAGACAAATGAGTCTCATATGAACATTAACATCTTGCAATATGTGTTGAATACTATGACAAATGTGACACTGGACCATAAAACCAATCTCACGTCGCTGGGGTATATTTGTAGCAATAGCCAAAAAAACATTGTATGGGTCAAAATTATAAATTTTTCTTTTATGCCAAAAATCATTAGGACATTAAATAAAGATCATGTTCCATGAAGATATTTTGTTAATTTCCTAACGTAAATATATCAAAACTTAATTTTTGATTAGTAATATGCATTGCTAAGAACTTCATTTGGACAACTTTAAAGGCTATTTTCTCAATATTTTGATTTTTTTGCACCCTTCAGATTCCAGATTTTCAAATAGTTGTATCTCTCACAAATATTGTCCGATCCTAACAAACCATTCCATGAAGATATTTTGTACATTTCCTACTGTAAATATATCAAAACTTAATTTTTGATTAGTAATATGCATTGTTAAGAACTTCATTTGGACAACTTTAAAGGCGACTTTCTCAGTATTTTGATTTTTTTGCACCCTCAGATTCCAGATAACGTTATTGCCAAATATTGTCCCATCCTAACAAACCATACATCAATTGAAAGCTTATTTATTCAGCTTTCAGATGATGTCTAAATCTCAATTTCAAAAATTGACTTGACCCTTATGACTGGTTTTGTGGTCCAGGGTCACAAATGTCAATCAAAAATAAAACAAAACTGCGATTATAAGCTGCAGAACACATTTGTGATGCATGTACTGCTTATATATTCCACTTTACAAGGTCCATACCTGAATATAGTGTCAATTTCTAGCAGTCATACTAACGCTAGCTTCCGGAAACATATAACGTGCTTAAATGTAACGTCTGTGTTGCATTTTACACATTTGAACCGCTCAAATATAAGATCAGCGCTGCGTTCACCTGCCATGTTTCTCATCAGATTCTGTGCCGACAGCATCCAGCTCAATCCACCTCAACATCCTTATTAAACCCTCGTCTGAACAGCTTAGGTTATGGTTAAGTACCATAGTATTCAGGCGCCGCTCTTATTTTGCACTTCTGCGCTTTAATTACACAAATTTGAAATGATATTCGTACCAACCTTTCTCTTCTTCGAGATTTGCACCGTCATCTTACCGGAGGCCGCAGACAGGAAAGGAATGGGCAATGTAGCGGAAGTGCGTTTATGGTAACGAATCACTTCCGTATGACTGTGAGTAATGATGGGAATTGTAGTTCTCACATCACACGCGGTAATCTCTTTTTAGTTAAGTGTTTAAATTGTGGAACATTAATACAGCCTACGATATTGCAATTGCCGTCCTTTAAATAAATGTTTTAATAGGATATGGATTACATGTTTCATAACAAATGTTTTAATAGGATAAACAGATAGATGTTTGTGTATGAATAAAATTAATCATGTAAGATCAATATAATTCTCTTCCTTTTTTGGGGGGGCTAAGCAACTTTACAAGTAACTACTAAATAGCTAACTACATTAAAAACATCAAATTAACAAAGTAGTAAACGAAACAAACGTAACTACCTTTTTTTCTTTAGAAATTTTATTAAATTTTTTCTTTTGGAAGTTGGACCATTACAATCTTCTTAAACATTATTATCTAAACATTAAAAAATGAAACTGATATTTAACTACTTTTTAGCTTCAATACAAAAACTCTGGTCACACTTTATTTTACAGCATGTGTACTTACAGTGTACTTACTCAAAAAGGACTGGTAGTATAAGAAGGTATCTACATGGGTTAAAGTTTAGGTTTAGGGTTAGTACCTAGTTATTGTAGGCTAATTGTTAGAATGATAGAATACAAAGTTAACAAAATTATGCTGTGTGGCTATGCAAGTCAACAATAAATAAATATGTAAATAAATAAAAAAATTAATGGATAATAAAAATATTTTTAAAATGTATAATACGGTAAATAGGCTACTATATACTGTGATACTCCATGAGACAATTTTATTTTTATAAAATTGTACAGCTTAATTTTCACACCTGCTTTCTCATCTTATTGAATCCTGAGGTATGAGACAAGTGAACATATTTACATTTTTTAATATGATAAACTTATGTATATCACATATTACAAATGCGGTCTTAGCACTTTAGAACATTGTAAAAATACACACTGGAATTATTTAATACAGCTGCAGGGGCAATTCAACCCAAGTAAGGTTAGGTTTTTCTAGAGGTGACCAAATCAATTGCTCATCCAGTGGACACAAATGTGTTGGGCTTAGAACATCCTCCTTCCAGCTGCTTTTACCTTTCTTGGTGTCATTAACAGAATAAACCCCAACAGAGCCATCCTGAAACCCCACATACACAAAAAAATCCTCACAAACAGTCAGAGTAGAGGGGTTCTTGCACAAATAGAACCTGCCTACGGTCTCCCCATCAGTCAGACGTATGGCTACCAGCATCGGCTTCTCATGGAGATCACAGGATATATTTTGGCACACCAGAGAGGAGAAACATATATAGACCACATATTGTCCAAAAACACCTACAGATGCATATTGTTGCAGAACAGGTCCTTCGGTTCTCAAAGAGCACAGTTTACTGTTGGAGAAATCTAAGATGTTTATAGTGGATTCAGATATTGAAAGGAGGGCATAACCTCCATCTGATGATAGTCTAAAGATCTCCGGTTGGCACAAAGAAGAGTCTGGCAGCTGGAATTGATGACAAATAGTATCCTCTGTTAACCTCCAGGAGTATACATCGCCTGAGGCTGAAGATACAATCACGTAATCTGGATGGTCAAGCAGAGAATGGAAAGCAACAACATGTGACCGGTCAGAGCATGAGAAGCATTTGCTTACATTACCAGACCAGAGGCTAACAGCCAAGAGATCCCCACTGTGAAGTCCTAAAAGGAAGGTGCTCTCTGGAGAAATGGTGGCATTTCTGAGATGAAGATGAATGCTGCAAATCCCATGTCCATTCTGCAATTTCCACACCCTTGATGGACCGGTCTCTGATAGTGCAACTGCGGAGTTGCCCTTGGGTGTTATTAGAACCTTGTAAGCTTGACTATTAGAGATTCTGTAAATATTTTCCCCACTACTGGTTTCCCAGACATATATGTCTCCAGTTGCAATACTCACAAGGTAGTTGCCATCTCCAGAGACAGACATAGACTCCACAGTACCTTGGTGAAGGAAGCGGCCTTCTACTTTGCCACTTGATACCCCCCACTTCCAAATATGTTTGGAGCCATCCGAAGAGTAACAACTTTCTCCATGAGATCCCACAGCCACCATCTCCACCCTCTTTCCAGATTTTGGTGCCAATGCTGAAGCTGTAATGAGATCCATGTCCCAAATAAGAACACTTATGCTTGTTATTGCTGCCAGGTAAGTGGCCCCACATTTCAGAAGTTTAACAGCTTGACAGTTTGCAGTGTCCAGACTCAACACACACTGTCCAGAGGCACAATTCCAGACCAGCAGAAACGGGCAATTGCACAGTAAAGCAAGGATGAAGCGTGAGTTTTGATCCATTATGGCTTTCTTAAATGTTTTGCCTTTTGGGGGATTGAATTGGTCAAGTACATCAGTTTGATGAATATCAATGAGTTGCATTTGTTGCTTTTTACATATTAGGAGAACATTGTCCCCTTTATAGTCTGTATTTAACACCTTCCCCTGGGTTGTGCAGTGGTTCTCACAAATCAGAACTGGTTCTGTTATGATCTTAAGATTCCAAGCAAACATGTTTCCTGCTTGATCTACACATGTAATCATCCCGTCACCCTCAGAGAGAATCATATCAATTAATGGCATTTCTTTTGGACAAGTAAATGTGGCTAGAAGCTGACCATTGGACCAATCAAATATTGTCACAGAACTTTCTTTCTGTCCACAGTAAATTATATCACCTTCCTCAGAACATGTCACACAGGTTATCTCATAAGTGCAGTGCAGTTCGGTCTGTTCCTCTCTATCGACAAATACATTAACAATGTTTTGTCCTCTCCACCATACAAAGAGTTTGTCATTAGACACCAAGACACCCTCAAGAATGGTGTTCTCCCTGTTTTGGGTTTGAATTTCTTGAGGCTGTGTGTTAACACCTGCATCCCACAAGACAAGTTTACCACAATGGGTGCTCAGAAGGAATTTGTTTCCAGAGCTACTGACACTCGTGAAATGCAGTTTAGAGGATTGGGTTAGTCTGAAGCCTTCAAATATACCTCCATTACAAACCCAAGCAGCACCATTCTCCAGTACAACCACCACAGTGCCACAGGAAGATCCAGTTGACTGTATGATTCGGGAAGCTGTCGACTCTTGCGGTGTACAGTGGGTGTAAGGTACTGCAGGAACTGGAGGCAACACAGTATACACTCCATTTTTTGGGATAATACCTTCAGACCTTGGCGGATTGGCACATTCTTCCAATGCAGGAAAAACATTCAGAAAAGGAATAAGTTTGGCTTGCAGTACTGTTGGCAGATCGGCAGGGTTGTTCCTCAGCAGACAAGCTGAAGATCTCAAGATGATGTGGAGTAGCTGAAGTTCCCTGGGAAACAGCAACTGAGATGTCCTCTCAAGCCACAGGAACAGTTCGTCAGCCAGTTCTGCTTGCAGCATTGCCTGAAGGTATTCCTGAGAAATCATTTGGTTACCAAGCTCCTCAATTCTCCCACTTTTCAACAAATGGAAATGGAGTATGTGGAGTTTCCTCAAATTGGGATGTGTTCTTGCTGATGGACTCTTGGCAGCAGAGATATAGAAAGGAGGAGAAAAAATCCAAGGTTGACTTGGTACTTGTCTGTCAATGTTAATATTCTGTGGGGCATCTGAAGAGCTTGGCATTTTCATGTCTTCATTGACGATCAAAGACTTTGCTGTGCCATTTGCCCAGGAGCCACTAAAATAATCTAACAGCACATGATGTATCTTCTGACTTGTTTCCTCTGAGCACAGGTACCTCTTACATACGACCAAGGGGAAGTGTCTGCTGACCCAGAAAAGAGTTTGGGTACCTAAAATGTTCCTCAGCACTAGAAACCCCTTCAGGTCTGAAAGAAGACTTTCCACAAAAACTTCAGGAACCCTCACTGTAAGTGGTACGCTATCGCCTGGTGGAAGGAAAGATGCGAGAACTTCATCATCACAAGAAAGAACATCAGTCAGCTCAGCTGCGGTCATGCCGTACCTGGCCAAGGTAAGATAGCTTAAAGCTTTGGAGACTACAGTTTTCCCATGCTTCTTCTCCAGATGATCAAACATCAGAACAATGTTATTATGGACCTCTTGGACCAGAGAGTTCTCCGTAATCTCAAACTCTGACTTCCAGTGGATTGCCTGTCTGTGAAGGAGTTCCACATATAGTGAGACAGAGCATTTCTTAAAAGCCTGATTCACATACATCTGTTGGCCTGAGGTGATCTTTCTGTTGGACTCCTGAAGAAGTCTTGTCAGAAGCTGGCTGCAGCTTTTACTTTCTACTTCTTGCAGCTCACAGAACACAGTTGAATCTGGGTAATACTTCTTCAGAGTAGCAAGAAGATCAGGCCTGTTTACATTTATAGAAATGAGAAGCTTTACATTTGGAGCTAATGACTCGGGAAGTAATGTCAAGTCGAGTTGTCCATCAGTCTTTGGCAGTTGGTCAAGACCATCTATGATGAGCACCAAAGGATTCTTGGATGGTGATCTTGCGGTCAGGAGTCTTTTGAAATTTTCTTTTAGCTGAAAGATGTTGTTGATACAGGTACTACTTGAATCAACCCTTTTACAAATGTCTTTGAGAAGCTGTCTCAGTGATTAGTAAATTACCTGTATTTGTTTAAGTTATTATTACTTAATCAAAACAACACAACTGCAGTTTGATTGATATTACTTGGAATGCGCAATAAAAAAATGTGATTTCTGAAAAAAAATAAAGTTATCGGTTTTTGCAAATGAACTCTTCAAATATCACTTATTTTCCATATATTAAAGGATTAGTTCACTTCCAAAATAAACATTTTCGGTTACATTTTATTTTAAGGTGTCCGTGTTACAGTATTATACATTTACGTACTGAATTACTTTGATTAACTACACGCATTTAATATATGGTTATGGTTAGGGTTAGGATTAGGGTTTGGTTTATGGTTACTTGCATGTAATTATGCATAATTAATTGTTATTATAATAGTAAGTACATGTAACATGTGTAACAAGGACACCTTAAAATAAAGTGTTACCAAATTTCCTGATAATTTACTCACCTCCATGTCACCCAAGATGTTCATGTCTTTCTTTCTTAGTCCATAGTGGACTTCAATTTCCACTATATGGAAATTTTTTATTCTGGAAGTGAATCTAATCCTTTTATGAGCTCTGCATGCAACAAGCGTTGCTCCAATGTGAAGTACCTAGAATTACTTTAAGCATGGTAACATCTCTGCACGCTAGGAACACATGACCATAAATGGCTTATTGTTTTTATAAAATGTTTTAACTATTTTAGAGCTGTTGTATCAAGTAAAATCTACCATATACCTACAATTAAATAATCATGCTGTACTGAAACAAATGTTACCACAAAGAAAGGCCCCAGAGAATTCTTCCTGCAGTCCTCCAGAATTTGCAGTCGTTTCTTCTGCGAAGGCCAGTTTTTGGGTTCTGCTGCTTCATACGGGTCAATACCCTGCAGACAGGTTGGATCAACAGACAATTTTTTGCTTTTTTGTAATGTTAGTTCTTGTAGAGGGAGGATGCAAATGATTCAATAAAGACCTTGTGTTGGTGGCCTAGATGCCATCTATTAGCCAAAACAACCACAGTGTTTTATGCACCGTAAACTGTCTACTGACATGCTTTCAGAAAGCAGTATAGAAATAGTGTTAACAATAAAGTTCAATACTAACCCAGTCAGCCTTTTGTTATTTGCACAATTAAAAATGCATGATGTTTAGATAATGAGACAGTAGGAGGGCCTGTTAGATGCTCGATTTCCCAATGAAAGAAATAACCATTATTTATTCATGTTTATGGATTAAAACACAATTGCTTGAGAAATCATTTGTTATTGTCAACTGGAAGCAACACAACTGTAATGTTCTTCAGATTATTTACAAGCTGATCAAACACTTTACATACTGACAGAAGATGTGAAAAAAGAAATGATGAATGTTTGCTCACTCTGAACTCGACTCCATGTGTGCATCTGCAGTATTCCCTCAGTCTGGGGAAAACTCTCTGCCTTAGTAACCTCCTCTCAACCACAGATTCTGCAACACAGTTTACACGAGGCAACATTTCAGTTGTGATTCAACTTTTACCCATCACTTTCTAGCCCAGATTTTGTTAAAAGTTGACCCCGTTTACTTTTTTTAATGCACTTTCCTCATCTTACTATGAGCGATTCATTGGTGCATGTTATTTCAAAAGGGGGGAAAAAGTCAATCTTTTATTAAAATAATACCTTGCTCCACATTATTTGCAACCCCTCCCCCTCCAGACCACTTTTCACAATCCAGTCATTTTCTGATGAATAAAATCAAGTTTCAAAGGAATTGTACACTTTAAAAAATTTAAATACTGTCATTTATTCATCCTTATGTCTTTCCAAACCTGCATGCCTATTAAATACAATTTGCACATGTGCATATTAAATGTGCATGTGACGCTCAGAAGAGTCATATGGGTTTGGAATGACATGAGGGTAATTTTTTTTCTTTAACGATTTAACCGCTAAACTACAAATAAAACCAAATGCAACATCTCCTTCATTAAAGATGTGCTGGTAGTTAATTATTCCCTATATTATTAAGATTGTTAATTGTATTAAAGTTAGTTATACTTTGGTATAGTTATGCTTTTATTCCTTTCAAAAAACATCATTTAAAAAAGTAAATGAATGCCTGCAGACATTATAACGTCCATTCAAGTTTAGATTAATCTGTAGGCATATAAACATTTAAGATTTGCCTAAAACAAACTGTGATACGTACCTTCTGGGTTGGAGCACAAATAAACTTTAACACAAGCCATCTAATTCCCTTCAGAGAGAAAGTTTCTCGTTCATTCCATGTGGCCGCATACAATTAACATGCTGAAACATTTTGTTCTTGCAGAAATATGTGAAAAATCCACACTCATTACCCTGTGGATGGAGACTGCGTGTTTTGTCTCATATCTCATTTCCCAGCAGGAAACATGTCTCTGTTATTTACATGGAACTCTGGGAGAACCGCCCACTCTTTTGAAAACTGACTGAAAAGCAGCATGATTTGACAAAACAGTCTGATATCATGCGACAAAAACACATTCTAGATTTTAAATCAATTTCAAAACATTCACACATCTAGCATCCTACAGGAAGTATAGTACAAAATTTGAAGTATTTAAAAAAAAAACATTTAAATTAATATAAACATTTAAATTTTAAATTACATTTCTTAAAAAATCTTTAAAAATATAAAAAAAATCTCATATTCACAAGAAAGCTTTAGAAAAATATTGAAAGGAGGTATTTAACCTTTAGATGTTCAAATGTCTTTGTCTTCAAATGTTTGTCCACTCTATTTTACTAAAATGTGGGGCACGTCTGAATATAATTATAAAATATAAAATTTTCTATGAAAATAAACACTAAACATGAAACAAATACAATGTATAAAATAAAGAAATAAAAAGATTTGACTGATTTGAAGTTGCAATTGATGCATTTACATCTAGCCACATCCATAAAAAACAAAAAAACAAAGAGAATCACTTTCCCCAGTTTTTTTATTTAACATTTGTACACAATAAATACAAATAATTTTACAGCTAATAATATGCAGAAAGAATATTTTTCACCTGTTCTCTGATATTGTCACTGCAGCAACAGTCAATTGTTGTTATTCCATCTGTTTTTTTTTTTTGTCTAGCAGCTCGGAATCACCTTCAAATTGTAATAAACGTAAATAAAATCACTTTAGAAATAAAAAGAACTAGAATATGCAGCTAATGCTATTGAAGAAGCTCCAAAGAGTTGAAACTGGCCGAGAAAACTGGGAGCGCAATTGAAAAAAAATGCAAATGAAAATATCAAAATTTGCGTTCGTTTCGTAGGCGAGAACAGTTTTTGACACAATGGGCTTTAACCTCTAACCATAAACTTCAAAACAAGTTTGATAACATTCAAAAGATCTCAACGAGATCAACAAGAAAATAGGTTGTGACAGAGGAAAATAGAAACAAAGGAAGATACTCAAACATCTTCCGCTCGGATTAAAAAAAGGCTACCAAACAAACGTTTTGTTTTTTTTCCTCCCACGTCTCGCACACGTTCTTTTTGTCATGACCCTGTTCTTGCTTAACAGAACTATGGTACCATTTCACAAAATGGATTTTTAAAAATTCTTTCCACTGTCTATATTATGGAATCAACATAATAACTCTGTTCTCTTTCAAACGTTATGGGAAAACTACAATCAGTCACTCTCTAACGAGATCAATAACAAGACGCTGGGCAGCTTCATCATCCAAAAGAGGCAGCCGGGACACAAGGACATTACAAAAATAAGATAAAATTAAGAGGTCAAAGCACTGAAACTCCAGAAAAAGATCAAGATATGCATGAAAATACTGTGGAAATGAATAAAAATCATAAATCTAAATTACAGCCATTGCTTATTTAAGATGAAATGTCTCTTCAACTGCAAAAAAAAAAAAGACAAAGAAACTCTTAAAAAACAAACATAGCTGCCCCTTGTAGGGAGGAAATGCACTTAGGACACGATAATAGGTTTGCGTTCGTCGGCAATAATTAAAAAGAAAAATCTCCACGATGATCCACCTTTTCTGTGCTTGTTAGTGGGAATCTTTCCCATCACATTCACCCTAAACACTGCCATAAAAGAAACACAGCACATTCGTTCAGTCCCTCTACAGTGCCGACACATGACAATGAGAAATGCGTTAGGCTGGAAAAGCACTTTAACTGATACTTGTATATTGATCGGTATATTTCCACGATTACGTTCCGCCCGAGCAGACGCAGAATATTCGCCGCCTCGTGCTCACAGACGCGTCTTTAGGTCGCGTGTTTCTGAGGACTAAATATTAGTAATACATACAAACACTGGTCTTCATAATGACAATTTGAGGAAAAGGATATAGCTATGTTGTTAGTACTTTTCTCAGATCAACACAAGACAGAAAGAAGCTAAACCGAGTGAAGTAACCAGCCTTCCTCTCTATTAAACCCTCGTTCTCCTCTACCGCTCTTTTTCCTTGTAGCCTTTTATGTACAGTTCCCTTTCTCCGTTATGATCTGCGATGTTTAACGTGAATATAACATTCCTATGACGACAGTAATGTACTGTGCTATTACATATGAAATACGTAAATGGTAGGACTATTCGTGGCTGACCCCTTTTTCACTCCCGTATCATCCCACAATTCCTAGTATCGCATGTTTGGCTCTTCTAAAGCCGTAAAAAGTGTAGCCTCTTTAAAACTCTCGCTATCCCTTGATTCCTTTCTACGTTTTTAGACACACACTTACACATCAACCTCAATTTTGTGAAAATTAACTGGCATCGAGTGGATTAACAAAGTTTTAAACAAGCTCCCGTTGCAAGATAATGTAATTACGAATACAAGGATTAGAGTTTGGCATGAAAGCGGTTTAAGGCACCAAACAGTCTGTGACGCCAAAAGAGGTGTTTGTTTTTATGAAAAGGGATGCCTTTGAGATGCTGTTCTCCGCCCCTTCGGGATCTAAGGATGCTCATAGGGCGGGTTAACACACGCCCCGCCCCTTCCGTGAGGAGTGGGAGGGGTTAGAGGTCAGATGGGGTTTGTTCTCAGTCCACTAGGGCGGCGCTCTACACCAGCGTGATCTCCACCTCTTCGGTTTTCTCCACCTGTCGGCGCGTGTGCTGCTTTGGAGGAGGAGGTGCTGCCCGAACCTACAGACAAAAAAAAACAGAGTTTAATAGAGAAGAGGAAGCCTATAATATATTCACATGTGAAAATGTGTATGTCCCCCGAAAAAAATAAACATTTATAAATAATAGAAATAATATACATAATATTTATAAATAATATACATTTATTTTCTTATATTTACAATATAATATTTATACAATAAAATATAATAATAAACAGTAATTCATATATATTAGGGGTGTAACGATACACGTATTCGTATTGAACCGTTCGGTACGAGGCTTTCGGTTAGGTACGCATTACAAACCGAACGATTCGTTGGACTAATCCTATTACATTTAGAAAATAAAAGAGCTTAAAGTGTGTGAAATATAATTTTCTCAGTGCCACTGCGCTCAACAAGGCAGCCCAAACGACGATAGCCAGAGATGTTGTCAAAAACATCAATTATTGGTAATATTAAGAGGATCTGGCATTTCCAATTGATGTAGGCCTGTTACATTCTTATTTTTATTAGGCCTATTATTATTATGAAGTTACTTTTTTTATTAAATCAAGATTACAATTCACTTGCCCCGCATTAATTACCACATAACTGACGCGCTGCGAGGATAACAAAAGATTAGGCTATTTACTCCTCAATTAAAATGTTTTAAAAAAAGTATTTTAAAATGAATTATAGGCCTATAATTAAAATATTAACACTGCAGTCATCAATAAAAATCACTGAAATAAAAAGCTTTTATTTCAAGCACCGACTTATTAAAACAACCTGTGTAACACGAAATATGTTTCTTTAAATTTTTTCCACTATGTACGGGTCACAAGAGAAATATAAAGGGAATAAATTAAAACAGTTAGCTATATACCGTTATCAATCAGCATATGTTGAAGTAGATTCGTCTCTCGTCAGAAATATTTCCAACATTGCGACCGTGACACCAGTGTGTCGTATCGAACTGAACCATGAATTTTGTGAACCGTTACACCCCTAATATATATATAACAATTATATAATATAAGTATTGAATATATTATAAATTATTTAAATAAATACATACATGATTATTATTTTACTATTAATAAAAAGAGGAGAAAAAGAGGGGAAAAAGTGCTCAATTGTTAAAAAAAAAAGAATATCTTAAACCTTATTAACTCTTTCCCCAACAAATATTTATGAGACAACGCTTCCCCGCCAAACACAGAATTTTCCGGGTTTCCACGTTCTCGCTATCATACACTCGGGGGCACTATTACGCATCTCCTGAATGAGTCTAGAATGTGCCGATCAAAAACACAAATGAGGAAGACGCAGAAACGAGCGATCTCCTATGTATGCATATGCATATGAAAAATAATGCGATCATCAACAATAAACAGCATATTAATGAAATCTGCCTAATGTTACCAAGTGAAATGGCGATCCAGGAAGTGGTAAAGGACTGTGCAAGCTTTAGGAGTGCTAATGGAAGCCATCTACTGCATCTTTGCTTTGATAATAATACGATCCAGATGTAGTATTTGATAAAAATGCGATTTTCTCAGTTTTTTGCTCAAAATCTTGTTTTTTTTAATGAAACCTACCTGTATTCAAGTATTGATAAAAAAAATTATGTTTGAAGCTAAAATAAAACAGATTTTTTTGTTTAAAAGTAGAGGGGCTGTTCTTTATTTTGATGTATTGCATGTTCAGATATTCATACCACAAAATATTCTGGGGGCCATGGAATTTTAGTGAAAATCCTCAAAAATGCTGGCAACTTTTTTCAAAAATGCTGGCGGGGAAAGAGTTAACTCTAAAATACAGATAGATAATTCATTTGGTTCTAAAAATATTTTTGTTATTTTTTGAGGGATGAAATATGGTCTGTATATATTATTGACAGGTTTCAAGAGATTCACACAGATAAATCTATTTAAAAAATTTTTTAAAAATACATACAATTATAAAAAATACAAAGTTATAAAAATATATTTTTCTCTGGTCTAGTGAGTTTTTTCTAAATATATATTTTTCCAAATGTAAGAAACTGCCAGGGTTATTAAAGATAACTAAAACTAAACCATAAAAATGCACTTTCATTACTTAAAATAAAATAAATATTAACTGAAATAAAATAAACAACTTATTTTATTTGAGCTAGTTGCCAAAGCAACATTTCTAATTTTCATTTACTTTAACTTGATTTACTAAAACAACTAAAAATGAAATTAAAATTACTAAAACTATAGGCATATTTAAAAAAAACAACAACAAAACAAAAACACAAATGACTAAAACTTTAACTAAAATGAAAATTAATTCAAAATATTAATAAAATCTATAATAGCATCTCGTTTTAATTTAAATAATACTGAAAATGGCAAAATCTTACACATAACGACTTTAAAATGCACAATGTTCATAAAAATGCACAATGTTCATAAAAGCATAAAAACCACATTTGAGGCTAAGCAAATCCTTAGTGCTGTGTTGTTGACATACAGGTCTGAGTTTTCCGGGGCCGGGTCCGTCCGGAGTGAGTCTCAGCGGCTGAGAGAAGCCTGGGCTCTCTGGACTCAAGCTGGAATTGTGATCTAAACCAAATGAAAAACATTCTCAAATGAAAACACTGACAGACTCAAATACACATGACGCAGTATCTGTGGTGACTAGTGTCTTACTGTGAACGGCGGCTTTCTGCGGGATGGGCAGTTTGAGTTCTCCGTTGACAGACGGCGAGCGGGGCAGCGAGGGGGCGCTGCTGGTCTCGGGGCTCGTGTACGGACTGCAGGGCGGCTGCTCATACAGAGGCAGAGGAGGAATCGATGAATGAAGCCTTTGGCACGGGGACACCTGGAGACGACAACGCATGTTAGCTTGCTAAGCTAGCGTATCCTTGCCAAGTCTACCAAGTACGTAAATCCTCTCAGTGTCAGATAATGTTAATATACACTAGCGTTCAAAAGTTTGGGGCCAGTAAATGAAATTAGTATTTCTATTTAGCAAGGACGCATTAAATAGATCAAAAGTGCCAGTGAAGACCTTTACAAAAGATTTCTATTTCAAATAAATGCTGTTCTTTTGAGCTTTCTATTCATCAAATAATCCTGAGAAATAAAATGCATCACGGTTTCCACAAAAATATGAAGCAGCACGACTGTCTTCAACATTGATAATGATCAGAAATGTTTCATGAGCAGCAAATCAGCATATTAGAATGACTTGTGAAGGATCATGTGACACTGAAGACTGGAGTAATGATGCTGAAAATTCAGCTTTGATCCTAAATTAATTATTTTAAAATATATTCAGTTATTTGAAATTGTAATAATATTCCACAATATTACTGTTTTTCCTGCATTTGTAGTCAAATAAATGCAGCCTTGGTGAGAATAAAAGACTTCTTTCCACAAACATTTAAACAGTAGTTTACGGTGTTTTATTAAATTTTATTAAAACTCTGAATCATATTAAGATATTCAACTATCAAAGAACAAGTTTATTATTATTTTAGGCATAACAAACGACATAATTTAGCATCGTTATATGAAAAACTAGAATTAGTATTTTAGAGTCAAGTAACGAATTATATGATTAAAGTACACATTAAAGTACAGTTTTATTATGACTGTATTTACATGATTAGCTCCAATCAAGAATTGCTTTGATGTGGCCGGATGATGTTAATTAGAGGAAGGAAGCAGCCATGCCTGTAATCAACAACACCAGGCCTCGGACATCAAACCCACTCAGAAACACACAGTAAGTGTGGACATAGAGACTCAGACTGAGTTCTGCTCGTCTCACCTGTGTGTCTGTTCCCCAGTGAGTGTCTCCGTTCTCTGAGGCGGTCAGGTCCTCCACCAGCACGGACGGAAAGACGCCCACTCGTCCGTTAAACTCGCCCTCCCAGAAGCCGTCGTCCTCCTGGTTGTCCTTGTTGAGGATGCGGATGATGGCTCCCTCAGGGAATGACAGCTCGTCATCCGTCTGACCCTCGTAGTCGTACATGGCCTTGACAAAACTCACTGGGAGAGACGAAGAAGTAAAGAAAGAGGTTGTTAATACGCCTCGGTCAGGTTAGACGGCATACTGGACTCGCAGTCTTTACAATGGCACGCACTGTTTAAAGGTCTGAGATCAAGTCATTTTCACAGCTTGCAACTTTCAAAAGTGTTTTATGGAGTTTTTGTCTGCTAAAAGTTTGGGGTCTGTAAGATTTAATTAAAAAAAGTCTTTCATGCTCACAGAGGATACATGTATTTGACCAAAAATAGAGTAAAAACAGCAAAATATAATTACAATTTAAAGTAACTCTTTTCTATTTGAATATATGTGACCCTGGAGAACAAAACCAGTCTTAAGTCGCTGGGGTATATTTGTAGCAATAACCAAAAATACATTGTATGGGTCAAAATGATCGATTTTTCTTTTATGCCAAAAATCATTAGGATATTAAGTAAAGATCATGTTCCATTAAGATATTTTGTAAATTTCCTACCGTAAATATATCGAAACTCAATTTTTGATTAGTAATATGCATTGCTAAGAAATTCATTTGGACATATTTACAGGCAATTTTCTCAATATTTTGATTTTTTTTGCTCGCTTAGATTCCATATTTTCTAATAGTTGTATCTCGGCCAAATATTGTCCTATCCTAACAAACCATACATTAATGGAAAGCTTATTTATTCAGCTTTCAGATGATGTATAAATCCCAATTTCAGAAAATTGACCCTTATGACTGGTTTTGTGGGCAAGGGTCACATATGTTAAAATGTAATTTATTCCAGTGTTCAACTCTGAATTTTCAGCATCATTACTCCAGTCTTCAGTGTCACATGATCTTCAGAAATCATTCTAATATGCTGATTTACTGCTCAAGAAACATTTCTGATTATTATCAATGTTGAAAACAGTTGTGCAGAAACTTAAAGCGCATTTGTTTGAAATTGAAATCTTTTGTAACATTATAAATGTCT